GCAGCACCGCATGAGCGCGTTTGACTTGGCGCCCTCACTCGCGGTGGCCACGCCGTTCGCGCGGAAGAACTCCTGTTCGCCGCGCGCCATCGCCACGAATCTGGCGTGAGCTCGCCGCGCGCATCCACGTACCGCCCCAGGCATATCAGCACCCACTCGCGGCTGACAATCCCCTGCTGCACGTCGGACTCGCTCCGCGGCGCCAGACCCCAGCCGCCGGGCCCAAACGCACGGTTCAGGATGCGCCGGTACTTGATCTCTGGTAGGTACAGCAGCCCATCTGCATGTCAGCGGCACGCGCGCGGCAACGCACCAGGTTTGATCTCTACGTCCTCTCTGTCGATTGGCTCCGTGAGGGTCCGCGCGACCTCATCAGCGAACCCGCGCTGCCCAATCCCTTCGAACCCAGTGCGCCACTGCGTCTCGGGTTCAGATGCGACGCCTGCAACTGGTGGCGCCGCGCGCGCATCCCGCGTGAGCGACGGCGCGTCGCCCGCCCCGGCCGCAGCGGCCGCGCCGTCCGCCACTGGGATCGTGGCACCCCGCAGCGGCACGTCCGGCTGCGGCGCGCGTGTCGCGGAAGCCCCGACCGCAGTCTTGCGCGCGGGCTCCCTGTAGCTGCTCGGGGCAGACCCACGCGGCGCATACGTCGACGCCGACCTCGCTGCGTGGACCGCTCGGCGCAGCTGTATCCGCACACTCATCGTGGGAGGACGCGCGGATGCGCCGCCACCGTCGCGGCCATCAATATAGGGCACGTGACAAGCGCGTTATGCGAAATTTGCGCGCTTCCAGATCGCGGACTCGGCGATGTCGCTGGGGAAACGGCGAGGGGCGTCCGGAGGAGGCGGCGTAGCGATGCAGGGGGATCCGGACGGGAGCCATGTCCCAGACGGCGGTCGCGTCGTTACCGTCGAGTACGCGGAGGCCAGGTCCGACTGCGCGTCGACGAATTCCAGCGCACGACGTGCAGAGGAGCTGGGCGTCTCCACACAGTACGAGCGCCAGGTCGCCCTGGTAAACCAGGCGATCATGGAGGAGATCGGATTCGGCGCATTCCAGATCAAGCTTACCATCCTCGCGGGATTCGGCTGGCTCGCGGACAACGTATGTGCACGAGTGTCCGGGCTGACCGCAGATTTGGTTCGAGGCGCTCGCGGTGACGCTGCCGCAGATCGGCTACGAGTTCGACGTTGCGCACGTGCAGTTCGCCACGTTCTCCCTGTATCTCGGACTGCTTGGTACGCGGGCGCGGTGCCGTGTGCTTACCGGCGAGTCGGCTCGACATTTTGGGGCTTCTTCTCCGACATCATCGGGTATGCATGCATCACCCCGTGGCTGACGCGCAGCCGGCGGCCGTCGTGGAACGCCACGCTCTTCATCTCGGGCGCATTTGGCATCGGTGTTGGAGCGGCGCCGAACTTTGTCGGCATGTGCTGCATGCTCGCGTGTCTCGGCTTTGGGCTCGGAGGAAACCTGCCCGTGGACGGGGCGATGATGATTGAGTGTGCGTCGGCAAGCTGCCCGCGGAGCTGCACTAACCCACCCAGTTATCCCAGGCCCGTACCAGTGGGTGCTCACGCTGCTCTCGCTGTTCTGGTGTATTGGACAGCTCTTCGCGGCGCTGATCACCTGGGCGTTCATCACGAACTACCGATGCACGTCCGCGGACAATTGTCCACGCTCCTCGAACGAGGGCTGGCGGTACTCCTGGTTTCTCCTGGGTGGCTGCGTCCTGCTCGTGCGTCCGCGCGAGGTGGCTGCTGACCACAGATGTGGGTCCTCCGGTACTTTGTCTAGTACGTGCAGACGTGCGCGCGTCCGCTCACCGCAGCCCGATTCCCGAGTCGCCCAAGTACCTCCTTGCGATGCGTCGCGAGGAGGATGCGTTCCGCGTGCTGCAGTTCGTCGCCAAAGAGAATGGGCGCGCCACGACGCTCACCCTGGAGAAGCTCCGGCAGGCGGGTTTGGGGCGAACCATGCAGGTCGCCGGCGACGAGGAGGCGGCACCTGCGGCATCCATGGACACCAACGCCAAGGCGGGGCCGCCCGACGGGAAGGCCGAGGCCACCGTCGAGGTGCATACGAGGAGCTACGCGTGGAGCCAGACGCAGCTGGGCGGGCATGCGCTTTCGCCGCGGCGTGTGCGAGAAAACCTCCGCGCGCTGCACCGCTCGCCGATGGGCGCGCTGTTTGCCTCGCGGCGCATGGCGCTAAACACGGTCCTGGTGTGCGCATGTTGGGGCGCGATCGGCCTCGCCTACCCACTCTTCAATTCGTTCATTGCGATCTACCTTGGGAAAATCGGCGTGGACGCCGGGACCTCCACGCAGACAGAAGAGTACCGCCAGCTCGTGATCATCGCGGCGTGCGGCATTCCAGGAAGCCTCATCGCGACCGCCATGGTCGAAGTGCCCTACGCAGGACGTCGCGGGAGCATGGCCGCCTTCACCGGACTCACGGGTGTCTTTCTCTTTCTCTTCACGACCGCACGTAACCCATCGGCTGTGCTCGGCTGGAACTGTGCGATCAGCCTGACACAAAATGCTATGTACGGCATCCTCTACGCAATCACCTACGAGGTGTTCCCTGCGCCGCAGCGCGGCACTGGCGACGGCCTCGCGATGAGCACGCAGCGCGTGTTCGGTGTGGTGGCGACTCTCATTGCTGTGTATGCCAGTGAGAACGTTGTTGTGCCGATCTACGTGTCCGCGTCCATCTTCCTCTTTGCCATGGTCATTATGCTGTTCCTCCCGTACGAACCCCGCGGCCAAAACGCGCTGTAGGCTGCATAGCGACACGTGATACCCTCTGCGTGATGCCCCCGTCCACCTGCGCTATTTGCGCCCGCACTGGCCAAGCACGCCATCGCTGGTGGAGGGATCACGTGCGCGGTGTCTGAACTCGCCCGCAGCGACACGGACCGCCGTACTTCCACGATGCTGGGCCAATCGCTTCGTGTGGTGGCGATGCCGCGCCGAGCGAGCCATGCGCGTCTCTTCTCCACCTCTGCGCGTGTGCTTGATGCGACGCACAAGGTGGTCGTGGTCGGTGGTGGTACCGCGGGCCTGACTGCCTCGCACCAGCTGCTGCGCTCCGGCCGCTTCGCGCGTGGCGACATTGCCGTCGTGGAGCCGTCCGAGTGGCACAACTACCAGCCGGGATGGACGCTCGTGGGCGGTGGCCTAAAGCAGCGTGGACAGCTGCGGCGCACGACCGCGTCGCTTGTCGACCCCAAGATCCAGCTGTATGAGGATGCGGTTTCGACGCTGCACCCGAGCGAGAACCAGGTCGTGACGCAGAACGGCGAAACGCTCACGTATGACCAGCTCGTGATTGCAACCGGGTATGAGACCATGGTCGACGCGATCCCAGGCCTGCGGAAGGCGCTCGCAGACCCTGAGTCGCGCGTCGCGTCGATTTACACTTACGACTCCGTGCCGGACGTGTACCCTAAATTTACCCGCCTCCAAGAGGGTCGTGCGGTATTCACACAGCCTGCGACGCCGATCAAGTGCGCCGGTGCACCGCAGAAGATCATGTGGATGGCGCTTGACTACTGGGCGAAAGCGGGTCTGTACAAGGCGCACTCCCCCGACTCCAAGATTCAAATTGACTTTGCGACGGGGCTCCCGGTGATGTTTAGCGTCCCCAAGTACAGCGAGGTGTTGAACCGCCTGCGTGAGGAGCGCGGTGTTGGCGGCCTTTTCCATCACAACCTTGTCGCGGTTGAAGACGATGGCACTACGGCCGTGTTCGCGACGCCAAACGGTCAGGAGCGCCTCCCGTTCGATTTCCTCCATGTGACGCCGCCCATGGTGCCGCCAGCGTTCCTGAAGGGTTCGGCAGTGGCGAACGAGGGTGGGTATGTGGACGTGGACCCGAGCACGCTGCAGGGTGTGAAGGTGCGGAATGTGTGGTCGCTCGGTGACTCGAGCTCGCTGCCGACGAGCAAGACAGCGGCGGCGATCACGACTCAGGCGCCCGTCCTCGTCGAGAATCTTATCCGTGTCATGGACGGCAAGGCGCCGGATGCGGTGTACGATGGGTACACATCGTGTCCCCTGATCACCGAGTATGGCAAGGTGCTCCTCGCTGAGTTCAAATACGGCGCGCAGCCGAAGGAGACGTTTGCGGAAACCATCGGCATCGACCAGGGCGTCCCGCATCGCGCATTCTACTATCTCAAGAAGGACTTCTTCCCATGGGTGTACTTCAACAGCTTCCTCAGCGGCACTTGGGCCGGTCCTAAGGGCTGGTCATTCGGAGGTCGACGTACCTTCTCGTCCACGGCGCGTCCAGGCACGAGGTCCTTCAGCACGTCGTCCAAGGCATTGCGCAACGCACCGGCGACTGCATTCCGTAACACGCCGTCTCGCCGCCCACGCGACCCGCTCACTAAAAGCCGCACTGCTATTCGGTTTCCGTTGGATGGTGGCGAGACATTTATTGTGCGCCCGCCCCCATCGCAGGAGCCCCCCCGCATTACTACGTACGCCGCAGACGGCCTGATGAGCGGCGCGGATCTCCTTCCAGATGCATCCGCCCAGACGCTGCCCCCGCCGCTCCGCCCGCAGCGCCGAAGCGTGCGTGCTTCAGAAAGCAGTCTCTCCTCGGAGCAGATCGCGGAGATCCAGCAGCTTCGTGCGCAGAACCCGTATGCGAACACCGCCGGGAAGTTGGCGAAGCAGTTTGGGTGCTCGCCGACATTCGTGAGTATCGTCGCCCCGGCACCGAAGGCGGTGCGTGAGGCTCGTCGGGCGGAGGAAGAGCTGCGCAAGGCGACATGGGGAATGAACAAACGCGTTGCACGCCACGAGCGCCGCGAGCGCCGCGCCCTTTGGTAGTCTCCTTTTTGCAGCAGCGAAACGAATGCACCCGTCCACCACTCCAGCTGAGACAAACAGCCACTCGGCATTGACAAGGAAGTTGCACAGGTTCGCGGTTTTCCGAGTGGATGGCACAAAATGTACCCAACACCAACGCCTCCCACAAGCGGAGGCCCAATAGTATAGTCGTATTATACTCCCTTCGGGAAAATTTGAACCCTCAGGGGAGCCCTGAGTCTGGGAGAGGTCCCGGGTTCAATTCCCGGTTGGGCCCAATTTTTGGCAATCTGGTTTTTAATCATGCCAAGTCTCGGGGAGCTACCACGGTGCTGCTGGTGCAAGGCATACGGTAAGATGACATATCATCTAATCCGTGCGTCCATGCCAGCCAAACTTCCACATCGCCATAAAATCGATCGGTTGCCTTTCACACAATGACCCCCTCGTGTCTGCAGGATCTTGTATTTTCACGCCCGGGGCCCAGTGTCAAATCCGCGCAGCGAGCCTTAGCGGGCCATTCGGTACCACGCTTCTACAGATGGAATCCCGCTTTCGTTTCTCAGCTGCGTATCGCACCCGACGCACGACTGGCAGCCGGACTTCTTGCTCCGGTGCAGGTCCGCGAAACTCGCGATCGCGTCGCGTCCACTCTGCTTCCGTGCGATGCACCCGGTGCATTGGCATCTTGGCCCGCACTGGCATTCGGGTATATAGGGTCGCGACAGGTCAAGGACACGGTCTTGCGCAGCATCGCTGAAAAACGGCCCCTTCCTTGAACTTGTGTGCGTCTCGGCGCAGTCGTCCAGGGTGTGGCGATGCGTAATTGGCGCGCCGTTCGCGCGCTGTGGAGGCGCGCCCGGTAGAGAACTGAGCCCGGAAGGGAGTGGTGGTGGCATTGAAGAAGGACGTGGGGGCCGGGGGGGGAAATGAAGGGAAATCATAGAGGGAGAATAAAACGTGGGTGACTCCGTCTTGGGCCGAAGCCGTTGCGGCTGCGGCGGCACGAACGGCATCTGGCAGCAGACACAAATTCCAGTGTTTTTGCAGCGGCATGGGTTGAGTAGACTCTCGAACGAGAGCGGCGCCGTCGGATACTTCGCGGGCAGCTCAGGCTCCGCAAGTCCCCGCAGTGACACGACTGCCTCCCCCTGGCTGCGCGTCGTCTTCGACGGTGCAGCGCAGCTACAACGGATGTGGCGCCCCGTGCGTGACCGCTTCTCGCGGCAGGCCTCGCACTGCGTAGGTGGGCGCCCGCGTTTCTTCACCACATGCAGCGGACCTTTAGATCCGTCTTGGTGCTTGCACGATGACGCGCGATGCCCCTGGATGCAGGTGCCACACGCCAGTTTCACAGGCGGTGCCATTTGTGATGTAGAGGACATGACCACAGCAGATGCGGGGGGTGATCATCGCACGGATGAAACCAGGTCCTGGGTTTGGACTTTTCCGTGTCCATCCGTGGGGCGGCGTACGATCGGTGTAAAAAGACAGTGCCAAGAGGCCGCCAAGCCTCAGCGTGACGTCTTTCTCGGCCCGTTTGGGGATGTCCGCGGATCTCGAGCCAATCCGCGCGCGCATCACGTGCGAGCACGTGATTCTACAGAAAGGCCTCATCTGCGCGATTCGGGGCCGGTGCCGACCAAGCACCACGCCCAACGCGATGTCCGGCGAGGGACATGCACCACGCATCAAGAACCGGGCTCCTGCCCCCGTGCAGATCTCTGCGGAGCAGCTGCTGCGCGAGGCGCAGGAGCGCCAGGAGCTGCCCTCGCAGAAGGGTGCGCGTGCCCGGATTGAGGACTATGAGGAACTCGAGGAGTACCGCGCGCGGAAACGGAAGGAGTTCGAGGACGGCATCCGCCGTCTGCGGGGTAACGTACGTGGCATGCACACTGGGCTCACTAATTTGCGCAGATGGCAGCGTGGATCCGGTATGGGTCGTGGGAGGCGACGCAGGGGCAGATGGACCGTGCCCGCTCCGTGTTTGAGCGCGGGCTGGATGTCGACCCGCACCATATTCCTCTGTGGCTGCGGTACACCGAGCAGGAGCTGAAGCAGCGCAACATCAACCATGCACGCAACCTGCTCGATCGCGCCGTGTCGATCCTTCCGCGCATTGACCAGCTCTGGTACAAATACGTGCACGTCGAGGAGCTCCTCGGCAACGTCAGTGGCACGCGAGAAATCTTCGAACGCTGGATGGCCTGGGAGCCAGACGAGCGCGCGTGGAATGCGTATATCGCGTTTGAACTCCGCTATAATGAGTACGAACGCGCGAGCAGCGTCTGGGAGCGCGCCGTGACGTGCCATCCAGAGCCGCGGCAGTGGACGCGCTGGGCGAAATTCGAGGAGGACCGCCACGAACTGGACAAGGCGCGCAGCGTGTTCCACATGGCGCTCGACTTCTTTGGCGAGGACGAGGCGGCGCTGGAGCGCGCGCAGACCGTGTTTACAGCGTTCGCAAAGATGGAGACGCGCCAGGGCGAATATGGTCGTGCGCGGACAGTGTACAAATATGTGCTCGAGCGCCTACCGCGCGCGAAGAGCGAAGGGATCTACGCGAGCTACACGCGTTTCGAGAAGCAGTTCGGCAGCATCAAGGGCGTCGAAGATACCGTTACACACAAGCGACGCCTGCAGTATGAGGAGGACATCGACGCCGCACACGGCGTGCCGGGGAACTACGACACGTGGTTCGACTACTCGCGTCTTGAGGAAGAGTCCTTTCGTACGCTCACAGAGAAGGGCGCGCCGGAGCCTATGCTGCACGCGGCGCGCGAGAAGGTGCGCAACGTGTACGAGCGCGCCGTGGCGCTCGTGCCGCCGACGAACGAGAAGCGGCTATGGCGCCGGTATGTCTATCTCTGGCTGCGATACGCGCTGTTCGAGGAGATCGACGCGGTGGACTACGATCGTGCGAAGAAGGTGTATGCGACGGCGATCTCGGTCGTGCCGCACCGCGAGTTCACGTTCGCAAAGCTCTGGCTCAGCTATGCATACTTCGAGGTGCGGCGGCTCGACTTGCCGCTGGCGCGCAAGATCCTGGGCACCGCGATTGGCCTCGCACCGAAGAGCAAGCTGTTCCGCGGCTACGTTGGACTCGAGCTGGACCTCAAGGAGTTCGACCGCGCACGCAAGCTGTACGAAAAGGCACTCGAATGGGACGCGACGATTTCCAGTACTTGGATTCGCTTTGCGGAGCTGGAGCAGAATCTTTTTGACTTGGAGCGCGCGCGTGCCATCTACGAATTGGGCATCCAGCAGGCAGAGTCTGACGGCCTCGACATGCCCGAGGTCCTATGGAAGGCGTACATCGACTTTGAGTTCGCGGAGCGCGAGCTCGAACGCGTCGAGGCGCTTTATGAGCGTCTCCTCGAGCGCACCGGACATGTCAAGGTGTGGATCAGCTATGCGCTCAGCAAGATGGACGCTGCGCTCGCGCTCGAGGAGGACGAGGATGCGGATGTCGAAGAGCAGAAAGGCGAGGGCGGCGCGGACTCTGCGCTTTCGGAAGAGGATCTTGCCGCGCGCGCCTTGTCGCGCGCAAGAGCTGTCGCAGAGTCGCGCGCGATCTTCGAGCGGGGATACGGCAGCCTGCGGAAGCAGGAGTTGAACGACGAGGTATGCGCCGCGAATAACCCCGCCTTACATGCAGACGGTTGTGCTGCTCGAAGCGTGGAAGGCATTCGAGCAGGAGCACGGCGACGACGCCAGTTTCCAGGCTGTGCAAGCCAAGATGCCGCGCATCCTCAAGAAGCGGAAGGAGATGCTTGGAGGAGACGGAGCGATGGAAGAGGTTCGTGCGGCCGCCTCTGGCTCTCGGCTCACGACAGTATTACGACATGGTGTTCCCCGACGAAGAGGAGAAAGAGAAGCCGGTCATGAAGCTTCTACAGCGCGCGCATGCCTGGCGGTCGCAGCAGGCAGCGTAGATGTACATAGTTCTGCGTGCCCTTGGGATGCGACTCAACAGACATGCCGCGCGTGTGATATGGGAAATACGCGCCGCCGCGCATGTCGTGGGGAAATACATGCGTTGGTTCGCGCCTGCAGCAACTCCGCAGGCTCACTGCTCCACGTCCGCTGCGGCTACGCATCCGTGTTGCCAGTCGTGATGAGCTCGTCTCTGGCGTGGACGCCATCGGGGACGCCCGGTAGGGCGGCTCGGTACTCCTGTATGCTGTCGGGTGCGTGTGAGCCGTGCCCCGCGGACCACGTACGTGGACAATCCAACACGGCCACTTACCGGAACAGCTCGCGTACCCGTACTGTCGCCCGTACGATAACCGACAGGCCGTTACGTGTGTCGACACAATGGTCCCCGGCGGCGCCACGGTCCATGGCTGGGGTGCGTGTGGCAAATTCGTGGACGCGGAGGTGCGGCAGTATACGAAATTTGTAGTACGTCCGGATGGCGCATGATGCTGACCGCCAAAAGATCATCAACGTACTCATCGTGTTCGCCGCACTAAGCATATATATCTGGCGACAGACATACCAGACGCGCAAGTTCCATGGTATGCTATATCGCCGGGTGCATGGGCACCGGGCGGTCGTTGACGGGAGCCGTCGGTGAGGAGAGCTCCAATCGGGCGATCGCATTCCCATCATGCTCGAGGGAGAGCGCGCTTGGACCCGCGGCACACGCTTCGATGCACTCGTCTGCCGGCCATGTTTCTCCCCAATGCGTCACATTCAAGGATGTAAACAAGGCTTAACCTACGATCCGGGCGCAAACGAGTGTACGGCCTCCTTCTGCATGCTGAGCTGCGCCCCGGCCCTATGCACCGACCCAGCGGCCCCACACCCAAAGAACGGCCCACATGCCAAATGCGCTCAGGATTGGAAGGGAGAGGTTGTCGTCGACCCCGCCGAGGTCCAGCGCCTCCGTTGTCGCCCCCAGTACACCCACCATCCCGTACCACAACGCTGGTGGCATCGCGGCACCATGCCGCGCAAACACAGCCTGTAACCGGGACTCGGGGTGCAGCGTGAAGCCTTTGGAAAACCCGTCCCATCCGGTGTGCGCGAAGCCGCCCGTCGGAGGCACGCCAAATGTCGCAGAGCCGTTCGGAGCCCACGAACGGCCGCCGCGCCGCTCGCCCGCCTCACCGATCGAAGTGCCCCAGAACACGTACGCAATCATTGTACCCATGGCGCCAGCCGCGAGAAACCCTGCGAGCGACTTGCGGCGGGCGAAAAGAGGCGGTGGGAGCGACGGTGTGTAGCGTCCGTACAGACGGCCAGCGACAGACGCGATCGGATCGCACCACG